ATATAGGATAGACCCCAAAAGAAAATCACCAAGGCATATCATAATCATACTCGCTAACCAAAGACAAAGAATACTAAGAGCAGCTCAAGAAAAACAAAAAGTCACATACAGAGGAGAAACAATAAGACTAAGCTTGGATTATTCAGCAGAAACCATGCAGGCAAGAAGGCAATGGGATGACATATATAGAACTTTGAAAGAAAAAAATTGCCAGCCAAGAATAATATATTCTGCAAAACTCTCATTCAAATATGATGGTGAAATTAGGTCATTTCCAGATAAACAGAAATTAAAGGACTATGTAAAAAACCAAACCAATCTTACAAGAATTATTAAAGGGAGTCCTTTGATCTGAGAACAAAAACATCAGCTCACAAGCTGAATCTAGGATGCAGGATAGTAGCAGCCAGATACCAGTCTAGGAAATGAACTCTCAAGGACTATTCAAAACCAAAAGAAATACAACAGGAAATCAGAGAAGTTAATCTGTAAATGACAACAACACAGAACAATAAAAGAGGGAATAAATGGTGTAGGTATAGAACCTTCTAATGGAGAGGAAGATAAGGCGATACCAAGTAATAATAGACTGCTTCAAACTTAGGAAGATACAGGTAAATTTCAAGGTAGTCACAAAGAAAGTTAACAAAACTACTCATCAAAATAAAGAGGAAAAACACAGCCAAAGAAACAATCTTTGTTGGTTACAAGGATGGGAGGGGTGGGAGGGGGAAATACTAAATACACAATAGATAAGTGGTAACTTTGGTGAAGGGTGAGACAGTACACAATACTGGAGAACCCAGCACAACTTGTACAAGGAAAGGTTATGGAAGCTCCACTGACACATCCAAACTCCCTGAGGGACTGAATTGCTGGGTGGAGGGCTGTGGGGACCATAGTCTCGGGGAACGTCTAGATCAACTGTCATAACACAGTTTATAAAGGAAATTTTCTACATTCTACCTTGGTGAGTAGCGTCTGGGGCCTAAAAAGCCTGTAAGCAGCCATCTAAGATACTCCACTGGTCTCACCCTTCGGCAGCAAGGGAGAATGAAGCAAACAAGATACAAGGGAAAGATTAGTCCAAAGGACTAATGGACCATAACTACCACGACCTCCACCAGACTGAGTCCAGTACAACCAGATGGTGCCCGGCTACCATCACTGACTGATCTGACCAGGATCACAACAGAGGGTCCCGGATAGAGCTGGAGAAAAATGTAGAACAAAATTCTAACTCACAAAAAAAGACCAGATTTACCAGCCTGACAGATACTGGAGAAACCCCGAGAATATGGCCCCCTGACACCCTTTTAGTTCAGTAATGAAGTCATTCCTGAGGTTTACCATTCAGCCAAAGATTAGACAGCCCTATAAAACAAAACGAGACTAATGGGGCACAACAGTCCAGGGACAAGGACTAGAAGGCAGAAGGGGACAGGAAAGCTCGTAATGGGGAACCCAAGGTTGAGAAGGGACAGTGTTGACATGTGGGGTTGTTAACCATTGTCATAAAACAATACGTGTACTAACTGTTTAATAAGAAACTATTTGTTCTGTAAACTTTCATCTAAAGTACAATTAAAAAAAAAAGAAGAAGAAGAAAGTCTTGGTGATCTGCTTCCATAAAGATTACAGTCAAGAAAATCCTATGGAGCTCAGTTCTACTCTGTAATACACAGGGTAGCCATGAGTCGGGGGGCTACTCGAAGGCAGCTAACAACATCAACATGATGTCTTTGGTCAAAGATTTACACCCAAATGATGCTTCATTGAAGGTCCCGGTTAAGTGAGACCACATTCTCTGTTACCCAGAATGATAGGAAGAGGGTGAGAGGCAGGGTAAGGGAAGTGTCCCCCAGCCAGGCTGGGACTTGCCACATTACCTGTTTGCTGTCTCCTCTCATCTGGGGTTCCTGGAGGGCAAGGAGGCAGAGTCTCATCCACAAGTGTTGATGAACTCAATGGAGTGTTTGCAACCTGGACATGTAATTGAGGGCCCTCCCGGGGGTGAATGGAGGCATAATGGGCAGGTACACACTGACAGGGTGAAGTTTCAGGGAAGGCACCCTCCTCCTTGTTCTGTGGGGGTGGGAGTTGGAGTGGAAGAACTGGTACCTGGGCTGAGGAGGCCCCTGATGGAGTTTCAGCCAGTGGTACCCAGAGCCTCTGCAGGGCAGGAAGAGAAGGCAGAGGCTGAGCTGTCAGGCAGAGTAAAGGAACAGAGGGCAGGACGCTGCCTCTGGAGAGAGGGTCCAGCCCTGGGTGACATGGTGGACACTGAGGCCAAGCTGGAGCAGGCCTGGGTTCACCTGCCTATGACCAGGGCCAGAAGCAGGGAGTGCAGAGCCCAGGCAGCTGGCTCAGCACACACCAGCTCCTTGCTGGCAATGTCACCAGCTACCATGGCAAGTACTAGGGCTAGCTCTTTGCTGGCGGGGCTCTGCGCTGCCCCAGGCTAGAAGGGGTTTTAGCCACCAGGCCTAGAAGTCCTCAAGCTCCCAGAGCCCAGAGGCTAGCATCCCCCTCCTGGGCCCAGCCTGGCCTGGCCTGCTGAGGCCCGCAGGCAGAGAGTGCTGGTGGTGCCCAGAGCACCAGGTTCAGGTCTAGCCCTGGATCTAAGTGAACTTCGGGTAAGTCACTTACCTAAGCAGCCTCATTGTCCTCTTCTGTCAATGGGAGAAATACCCAAGGACCTACCTAACAAGGACTGTCAGGAAGGTATAAGGAAATAATGGGAGGAGGGGACCGTCCCTCTGGCATTCACTCCTGGCTGGTACTGCAGGCTTTGCAGACCTCAGAGAGGCTATTTCTCCCCACTCAGTGCAACCTAAAGGAAGTCTGTCTAAGGGGCTCTAGCAAGTTGTAAGAAACAGCCAAGTCTCTCTAGAACTGCCCAATACAGTAGCCACTAGCCATTTGTGGCCACTGAAATTTAAATTAGTGAAAATTAAATAAAATTTTAGAATCAGTTCCTCAGTTGCTGTAGCCACATATCCAGCACTCACGAGCCACATGTATGCAGCTAGTGCTGCCGCATTGGACGGCACAGATACTGAGCCTGTGTCACTGCAGAGATCGACTGGACAGCACTGTGCGAGAGACAGTCGCCTTTTTGAAGCTGCATTTATTGAGAGCCTACTGTGTGCCAGGCACTGTGCTAAGAGCTTTATCCACGTTACCTCAGTAAATCCCACAGTAACCCTGTAAGGTAGTACTGTTATTACCTCACTTGGTTGTGAGAAAAGAGAGGCCCTGAGGCTTTAAGTGTCTTCTCCAAGGGCACACAGAGCGCTGGTGCTGGAGCCAGGACTCAACCCAGGTCTGACTCCAGAGACCCCACAGGCTGCCCTCTACTTCACTGCTTTCCTGGTCTTCCTGTTGTGTGTTCCCAGACCCCAAAACAAGTCCATTTTCTAGCCACATCACCTTCAGGACACATGAGACTGCATCTAGCACTCTTTATTGGCTTGGTAGAGCTTTCCAGAAGGTTTGGGCCTCAGCGTCCTCTTCTGCAGATGGGGAAACATGTATTTACCTAATGAGGACTGTTACAAAGGTAAGGGGAAATAATTAGAGGAGGGGACTGACCCTCTGCTGGTCACTCCTGGCACTATGGGATGGGGGTGAGAGGTTAACGTTTTTTCCCTGTGGATGCTCATACCCATCAGGGGACTTTCTTGGGCAGGGGATTAATGATCCCACTCTCTATGTATTCAAAGACAGTGTATGGGTCCTGGTCCCCATTGATCGTGATGGCACGTGTATAGAACCCCTCCAGCTCAGCGGAATTCCGGTAGAACAGATCCATTTTGAGCTTGATCTGCTCTTCGGCATCCTTTGGGTTCTGCAGGAGACGGGCCTGGATCTCTATGGTAGGGGGTGGCCTGTACATGAGGTGGTACCTGTGAGAGAGGAGGAGAAATGGGTGACCAAAGGACCAGCCCAGAGGGCAGGGAAGAAAGGAATCCTCTGTTCTATTGCTGGCCTAGTCGGTATACCCTGGTCATCATCATCATCAAAAACAAACATTTACTGTGCACCAGCTGTGTGCACGCCTTGGGGTGGGCCCTGGGGCAACAGAGAGACTCAAGTCACAGTCTCTGCCCAGGGGAGAGGGATACAGATAAGTGACAGGAGGAGGGCAAAATATAATAAGTGCCAAGTTCCTTCGTTCTTTCCTATTCTTTCTTTCTCTTTCTTCCAAACAATATTTATTAAGCATCTGCTTAATATATGTCTGGTATTATATCTGTTGTTGACAAGGCATAGTAAGCAAGACAGATGGACTTTATGGTCAAATGCAGGAGGGGGACACAACAACAAATTGAGTGGAGGTGACAGTAAACGACATGGGCAGTCACTGTGGGGAGAGGCCCCGGGGCAGAGCAACATGAAAGACATGGTCTTTGACATGGGTGTGCTGAAGACTGTCCCCTAGCAGGAAGGATGACAGATTGGACCTATGTTTTAGAAAAGTCCTGGTAATGCCCTTCCTGCCTCACCCTACTCCATTCCTCAGTCCCATGGAAATGTGGCCCTGATTATCAGGAGGGACGGCAGAGTCTACTGGTTGGCAATTATGGGGACTTTAACTTGCATTCTGAACATGGATGCAGTAATTATACTTGGTCAGACTGCAGAATAAAACTCAGTTCACTTCCTGCAACTATGAAAAAGCTCAGAGGTGAACTGGTTCCCAGGGGGATGTGCTGGTACAAGCAGCCTTATACCAGCATAATAGATGATGCATCACGGTGAGAGCAAAAGCCCAGGGCAGTATACAGATGGCTCTTACCCAATGTATCCATTTCACATGCGGGGCCAATGCTGTTGACCCTGGGGGAGTGTGGGTGAACGTTCCACCCATGTATTGCTGTATAGCCTTGAGCATTAATTTCCTGGGTTTTCTTCCAGGCAAAGAGGGTCAACAGACTCTGTCCAGAGGAGCGAGTTTGATAAACCCCCTTTCCAGAGTCTTCTGTCAATAGTCACCAGTGTTAGCCCTGGAGAAGTTCCGCCATGGCACCAGACAGAGAGATGGGGCTCCCTGGTTGAGCCTGGCCCCTGGCAGCCCTTAGACGCCAACCATAGGAACCTGGCACACACCTTTCTCCTGTGACTGGATCGGTTCTTCTCAGGGTCAGCCGCTCGATGATGGAATCTAATGGTACATTCAGGAAAAACACCCTATGGGTAAAGAAAAAACACTGTGGTCAGAGAACCCCAGGCTGGATTCTCATCACCCTAAGACCAGGCATCATTCCCCACATGTGGGCAGAGCCATGAGGAGCCACCTCCTGGGAGCTCCTAGTACCAAACCTTGGAGATGGCCACCATGTCCTGGCTGCTCTCCACTCCCCTGCTTCTGGGACAGCTCCCCTAGCCCCATCATTCCAGGGGTGGGGCTCCCTGAGGGGACACTGTTCAGGTGAGCAGGAGGACACTGTGCTCTCTGGAGTCACACAGACTTGAGTTCAAATCTCTCCTCTGCCATGGACTTGCTTCGTGACCTAACCTCTCTTAGACTCAGTTTCCTCTGCTGTAAAATGTGGACAATAATAGTTTGATAGCGTTGGAGATTTAATGAGATAAATCATGTGACAAGCTTAACGCAGGATTTGAGCATACTCAGTGTGCGAACACAGTAGCTTGTATTACTATTTTATTATTATTGTTATTAGACACTCTTTCTGGGAGTTCAGACTGCCCATGCCTTCCCTGGAGAGGCAGGGTTGCTTATTCTCAGCTTTCTCTTTCTCTTTCACAAAGCAGCCCTGGTTCCAAGGGAGCAAGACACTCAAAGTCAACAGGCCCATCTCAGAATCCAACCAAAAAGACAAAGTACTCCCTTCTCTTGAAAATTTGGAAATTCAGACTGGAAGTGCCTGGGAATACATCTCCTAACCCCTAGTTCAAGGAGTTTAATCCCTCACCCCTTTCCTTTTGGCAATGGAATATTTTCTTCATATAAAACCTTAAGAGAGTGCTTCTCAACTGAGATTGATTTTGCCCCCCAGAAGACATTTGGCAATGTCTGCCGACATTTTGGGGGTGACTACTGGCATCTAGTGGGTAGAGGCTGGGGATGCTGCTAAACATCCTACAGTGCACAGGACAGCCCCCACATCAAAGAATTACTCAGCCCAAAACGTCAACAGTGCTGAGGCTGAGAAGCCCTGACTTAGGATAAAGTATGAAGAAATGGAGTAGATAAAAGGTGATGCTTCTCTGGTTGGGACAGTTGGGGTGGGGTGAGGGGCAGAGAGCCAAGTGTCCAGCTGGCCCCTACCTACAGATCTAATCCATGCCCCTGGCTTCTAGCACTAAACCATCTTGGTTTTTTTAATTATTATTATTTAGCAACTTCTGGAATAGTCTACTGCTTACTGTTTACTTACTCGTCCTTTAAGTAATTCATTCACACATTTATTGAGTGCCTGCTGCATGCCAGGCCCTGTAGTAAGCTCCACTGTTTATGAATTCATTGCATGGAACTTATACACTATATTTAATAAAGTCATCATCATTGACTGATGTGTGCAATTTCTATTGGGGATAATATCAGTGACAACAAACACTCCCTGTGTGCCCAAAGAATCCTCTTCATGTCACTTTCAAGTAAGTAAAGTCAGGCCAGAAACATCTCTAGGAAAGCGTAAGAAAAACATATATAAACTAGGTTGCATGGAAACTGTAGAATGGAAACCTTTTGAGGAAGGATACTCTGCCGCCTCCAAGTTAGTGAACAAAAGAATCCCCTCACTGTCAGTGGCCGATTCTTGGAACTCACTGGACTGGTGCAGCAGCCTGCTGAGAAGCAAAACTCTGGTGGTGTGATGGGACACTGGACCCCAAGGACCCTGGATAAGCCCCTCAGGCCCAGGTTCCACCTCTATAGCCAGAGCAATAACAGGCCCCAAGCCAGTGTCCTGACATGCACCCAGTGCTCAGGAAATGCTTATGAAGGAATGAACAAATGGTAGGTAGTCCTAGTGTTCTAAGTTCTACTGCCTGGCTTTTTTCTATTCCAGTCAAAAACTCAGTTAACTGGTAGAGTTGAGGATGAATCTACAATACCAGGGTTGGCAGGGATTTTATACATATGGTTATTCCCAGCGACCAGCATATCAGGATCCCCTGGGAACCCTTTAACATGTGGGATGCCTATAACCTCTCCCAGAAATGCTGAGTCAGCAGATGCTGGGGGAGCCCAGTATTCCCCTGGTGACTGGAATCCACTGCCTTGGAGAACACTGGGCCAGGGATTCTGAACAAGGAACGCTGCAGGTCATTCCTGTGAACCTCTGTGAATTAGATACAAACTATTTCGTACGTGTGAGAATGTATGATTTTCTTGGGTGGGTGTGTCCATGCTTCTTATCGGATTCTCATAGGACTGCCAGTTCTTAAAAATGGTTACGAATCACTGACCTGAGCCAAAGCCTCGTGTTTTGCAGCAAGATGAAGGGCCCTAGGCTGTGATTAGGCGACAAAGCTAGGCTGCCCAGATCCTGCACGCTGTCTTCTCGCTCACTGCTTCCTTTGGCTTGTAGACATTTGTTGATTTTCTCAATTCCCTCTGGGGAGTCATCCTTAGTCGTTGTCATCCCTGTGACTTGGTTGGAACTAACTCTCACCTGGTCGCAAGGCTGGGCAGGAGGGAGGCCTACATGTGGCCAATCTGAGGCCCAGCTCCTCCTGGCCTCAGCATTATTGAACCTCCTGGTTAAGGATGCAAAGATTGGCCAATGAGAGGCTGCCCTGGGGTTTGCTGGAGAAAAAGGAGCCTTGTTTCTGCTGGGACTGCTAAGCTGATGGAATGGAAGCCCAAGGTTAACTAGGGCTGGGCTGAGAGAGCAGACAGATGGCAGGAAACATTGTTTGGGGCCCTGGATCAAGCTGTGCCTGAAGCCAACTTACCCTGCAATTTTTCCCCAACATAAATACATAAATCTATTCTTTTGCTTAAGCCACTATGAGTTGGGTTTCCTCTAACTATTACCCATAGGATACCTAATACACCTAGTCTTTCTAATACCACTTATTCCAGAAAATGTGTGAGCTTCAAAAACAGTCTGCGAACCAAATGCTCTTTCTCCTTCAAGGCCAGCTTCCCACACTCCCTTCCTTCTCCCTTTCTCATTTTGTCCACACTGTTTACTGAGGTTTGCTTCTGCCAAGTTGGCAAGAAGCCCCTCATTGGTGCCTGACAAAAGTTCCAGCCGCCCCTCCACAAAGCGTGCAAGATAGTTTCCACAGCAGCCTGGGGGGGGCAGGAGCCATGAAAACCCACTTCTTTCCTGCACATGTTCTCAGTAATGACTTCCACTCACAACATGCTGCAAAATAACAGCCGCCAAATAAAACATGCGAGATTGGGGAACGTCTAAACACAGGGAGTGCAGGTGTTTCAACCTGCTTTTATCCCTTACACTCTGAACATGCGGCCCCCCCAAACACCCCGTTATTTTCGAGGCCCAACAGCAACACCCAAACACGGTTGTCACTGCAGCTGGCGGTTGACAGTGCCTCTCTGGATGCCAACGTCAGTAGAAAGGAAGCCATTTCAGAAATCCCTGATAATTGATGCTGCTTCATAAACAAACAAGCCCCAACTGAAAGACTTTTAACCCAGCATATCAAGACTGCTTGTCATCATTCAAGGGAATGGCTTGTGAAAGGCTGGCAAGATCAGAAGCACAAGGACACCAAATTGGTACTGGAAACGCGTCGCTGGGAAAAGCCTCACTGGAGACAAGCTGTGCTTCCACACTAGAAGATTCTGATTACCCAGGCTCATGGCACCACAATGTGAGGGCCCAGTGACAGGGTGGCATGGGCGAGCCAAGCATCTCTGCTAAGACATACTGCCCCATGCACGTCACCACCCTTGGCTTTTTGTTTTCTGCTTCTCTTACAACAACACAGCAAGGAAAGGAGAATGGTGAAAGCACGGAAAACTCGGAGCAGGGCGTGTGCTGGGCAGAGACCCTTCCGGTGTGTGTGGGTGTGGGGTACTTGGACTGACTAGGGTAGGGACCTGTCTTTGGGATTCTAGAATTTCAGGCTGGTAGATGCCTCAGAAGAAGAGCCCTGGTGGTGCAACAGTTAAGTGCTCTGCTGCTAACCGGAAAGATTGATGGTTCGAACCCACCCAGTGGCTCCAGGGGAGAAAGACCTGGCAATCTGCTCCCGTAAAGATTAAAAAAAAAAAAAAAAACTCCTTGCTGTTGAGTCAGTTGCAACTCATACAGCCTAGAAAACCCTGTGGGGCAGTTTTACTCTATCACATGAGGTCACTATGAGTTGGAATCGACTCGAGGGCACCTAACAACAGATGCCTCCAAAGGGGAGGTGGAAGTTACCTTTGAAGGCCCCTAATGCCTTGGTAGGAGCCCTGGTGGCACAGTGGCTAAGAGCTATGGCTGCTAACCAAAAGATCTGTGGTTCGAATCCACCAGCCACTCCTTGGAAACCCGATGGGGGCAGTTCTACTCTGTCCTATAGGGTCGCTATAAGTTGGAATTGACTAGACAGCAACTGGTATAATGCCTCAGTAAGCAAACTGGGGTCCCTGGACCAGCAGCAGCGTATCTCCAGCCCCACTGCACACCACTGAACTGGAATCTATGTTTTAACAAGATCCATGGTGATTTGTATGCACATTAAAGTGGGACAAGCGCTGCTTTGATCCAGTGTTTCCCAGATTTATCTGATGTCAAGAATTATCTGGAAGACTTGTCTAGCATACAGATTCCAGGCACCCTCCCAGAGCTAATGAAGCAAAACTTCCCAGGCAAGGGCTGCATTTTTAAATCAGCAGCCCAGGTAATTCTTACGCTCGGGCAGGTGTGGGAACCACGGCTCCATCTAATCCAGCGGTTCTCACCCTTGGCCACACCACTGTAACCATCCAGGGCATTTTAAGGTAGCCCTGGTGGCACAAACTGTTACGTGCTTGGCTAGTAACTGAAAGCACTAGGGTTGCCATGAGTCAGAACTGTTTTTTCCGTTTTGGGGAGCTTTAAGAATACTGAGGCCTGGGTCCCACTCCCAAAAATTCTGATTTAATTGGTCCAGGTGTACCCTCAGAAAGGAGATTTTTAAAAGCTCCTCAAGTGATTGTAATTTATAGCCAGGGTTGAAAACCACTGCTCTGATCCAAATCTGCTCAGTGTATAATATGG